GATGTAGTCCCACACGTGAATTTTTGCTTTTGTCCCTGCGTTTTTGGTGTCATGTCCATGACCATTGCCAGAATCAACATCACGAAACTTTTCTTCTATGTTTTGTTTTTCAAAAAACAATTCTTAGTTTCATTGATTTTTTTTCTATTGTTTTGCTATTTTCTGCTCTATTCTTTGTTATTTCCCTCTTTCCCTGGACTTTGGGCTTACTTTATTCTTTTTCTAGTTTCTTGAAATGTAAATTAGGTTGCTTTTTGGAGATCTTTCCTCAGGATAATTAGATCCCCAGAAACAATTACCAGGGGAATATCTAGGACAACAGGACACTTTTATTTAGGAAGCAATGCACTAAAACATGGATATAAAAGCTAGATTATTAAAATGTTTAAGTATGTTATATGTAGAGGTATAATTCCAAACTGCTTTTTGTGATATATTTCATTTATTAGGATATTAAATTGATTTTCCTGATAAATACACGTGAAGTTCACAAACAAGATAATTGAAGCCTCCTTTGATTCAACTTTCCACTGATTTCTCCTGCATAGAATGAGGATGAGAGTGAGGGTTTCCCACCAATTCTTAACGTGCTTTTAGGGAAATTAGGTGTGCACTTATACATAGTTCATAAAACCTTCCAAATTGTAACAGAATGGAGATTTGAGGGACCACTGATAAAAATGTAAAAGCTATGTAGGGGATCAGAATTTGCCACCTCACAATGTGTCTCTTTGACTTCATTATTTTTAAGAACAAAAGACACAGAAGAAATTTTGACCTTCTCACTCACTGCCTAAAAGAATCTAAGATAGAAGGCCTGTCCCAGGAAGGAAGGATCACCATAGATAGCTCTGTGTGTGGTGGACTGGAAGGCACCTAGTAAGGCCCTGACTCAGCAAACATCAGTTTAACAAACATTTGCTTTTCATCTCCACGTGAATTGACTTCCACCCCTTTGAAGTCCCAAACCCCTACCCCAACATCTTCCTTTATCTTTAGCTGAAGATGGTATTTAAGGTGGTGGCTTTGGCCATTTTGGTGAGTTACTCAGTTTTCCTCTATTTCTTCCATGTATACCTGCTACTAAACTTTGATTTTCTCCTGCTGTTCTGTCTTACATGAATTTAATTCTTAGACTAGACAGAAAAACCTAGAGTGTGGAGGTATAGTTCTTCTTCCCCCACAGCTGTTATTAACATTTGCCTTCTTTATCTTCTACTATATAAACGTATAAAATTTCCTTAATTTTAATTTCATCCTTTTCTGTAAATTTTGATTTCTTCTTGGTGTTTTATCTCTGCTAATTTTTCTCTTTCTTTGTTGTTCTCTTTTCTATATGAACACTAATTCTTTAACCTCTGTCTCATTTTCTTCTTTCTTAAATCTCACCTCTGCAGGAATTAACTTAGTTCACTAACCTGATGTTCTCTTGTACTCTTCTTCGACTGTCCCTTCAGAAAAATTTGTGTTTCTTTGCTGTATCTCTTTGCTGGGGAGGGTAGTTTTAGTGGGTGAGGGGGGGTCTCCAGTGTTTGCATACAGGGGCAGCAGGAATATCCCATCTTATGTGCTCAGCCTTCTTGGTTGTTTTCTTTTAGGTTTGTCTCTTAAGCAAAATATAGCAAGATTTTTTATTTCAATTTAGTCAAATAATCTTTTTTTACATGTGTTTTGATTACTGATATATTTGGGTTCATTTCTAATGTTTTGGTTTTGCTCCCCATGCTCTTATTTTTTTTTATTTTCTACTCTGTCTTCTATTGCATGGACAAAATTTTCTTTTTTTCCTCTGCCAGTATAAAAAATGTAGCATCTTTCTGTCCCATAAGTATCCTTAAATTATATATATATATATATATATATATATATATGTATGTGTATATTTTTTTCTGTGTCCATTGTTATTCTCTAACATGTCCCCATGTGTATATCACTCCAACTCCTTCCTTTACTCTTTCTCTTGCTGATTTACTGTCTTAAGAATTACCTCAGTGGCTGATTGTAGCAGACTACACACCAGTTATATGTCAGCACAGTAATTTCAGAGAGAGTTTATCCAAGAAGCTGATCAAATGCAGTTCCAATGCACATCAAGAAAAATGATGAAAAAGAAAACCACCCAGCACAATAGTCAGAACGTGAATTCACTCTGTTCTTCCTCAGAGCCTTTGTCCCAGATCTTCCTCTGCCCGGAGTGACTTTCACCTACTAGCCTGGTGGCTCATCTTTTCACTTCTTCCCAGTCTCTGTTCCTAGAGAAACATGCAAGTGTGATAAAGAAGAATGTTCAAAATGGTTTATTGTAGTACTGTATTCCATAGATTAAAAAATCAACATCTTGGGGCCAGCCCAGTGCTGTAGCAGTTGAGTTTGCATGCTCCGCTTCCGTGGCCCCAGGTTTGCCAGTTTGGATCCTGGGTGTGGACCTACACACGGTTTATCAAGCCATGCTGTGACAGGGGTCCACATGTAAGACAGAAGGTTATGGGCACAGATGCTAGCTCAGGGTTGATTTTCCTCAGTAAAAAGAGGAGAATTGGCAGTAGATGTTAGCTCAGGGCTAATCTTCCTCAAAAAAAAAAAAAAAAATTAACGTCTTAACTATTGAATGGGAGTGGATTTCGCAATCCCAAAATAGGTTTCTGTGGCAGAAGGATTACATTGAGCCAAAGGCAATCAAAACCCAGCAGATTCAGGAAAGGCTCTTTACTTCCCCTTTAACTGCCTCAACTTACATTGGAAAGGGAGCCTGTGCCATGAAGAGAGTTATTACCAGTGCTATCTTTTTACTTAAGAAGCTTACCTGCATACAGGGCAACCTTTGTTTCCCAAACATCTCCTCTGCCTTCCTGTGAATGGGCTTCCTCCCCTTTGTATCCTCACACCCCTAACCCCTTCTGAAGCTCAGGCCTCAATTATCTGGCTCCCTTTGAGTCTTTATATCTTTATTGGGCTCCCAAATGTACATAATAAAATTTATTTTTATCCTGTTAGTATTTCATGTATCAATATAATTATTAGAACAGCCAAAGAATCTAGAAGAGAAGAAAGGAAAATTTTCTGCCTCTACACTGTTCATCAATAGAAGAAAGGATGCATACATGGTAGTATATCGATAATATAGAATACAATGGAACAGAAGGATATACGTGTGTTAATATAATAAGGCCTACAGGATTTATGATTGAGATAAAGCAAGTTACAGGAAGGTATGTCCAAAATGTATATTTGTACTATAATGAATAAAATACTATATATTTTCTGTTGATTCAAATCTATAATAAAACATCTGGAAGCACCCCTCCAGAGTGATCAAGATGAAGAAAGAATTAGGGTAATAAGTGATCAAACAGTCAGAATTGGGAGTGGTAGTCAAAGAGGATTTTAGTCTATGTGTAATGTTTTATTATTTTTAATACGTCATATATTCATGAATTCGTCCTATTGTTACAATTAACAAAAATTCATAAAAGCCATCATAAAGGCTTATCCATATTTTTCTCTATTCTTTTCATCAAAAAAAGAAGAAAGGAGAAAGTGACACCTTCTTCATAAGAATTTGTTCAACCACCCCAAGTGTAAGAATTTCTCCCTCCTCCGGGATCATACAGCTTTTAGTTCTCACACTTCTTAGGATCCTCCTCTTTGACTCGGCTTTAGTTATACATATTTTTGTCTTTCCCAGTAGACTGTAAACTAATATGTTATACTCTTACCTATTCTTAAGACCTAGTGTATTACGCCATTTACACTAAAACTTTAACGGATGTTTATGGATTTGTTTTGGACTAAGGTAAAGAATCAAATAAATAGAACCAGATGAGACTTCGATTATTTTGAGTTATAAATTTCCATGAAATGACATTTTAAAAGCAGGATTTGGTTCATTTTTAATCTCTATTCAATGTAGGCAGTTTCTTTGTTTTCTGACGATCTGCATTTCTTTCCTCAAGAAACAGAGTGAATGTGATTGCTGAGTTGGTTGGTCTGAAGTGGTCTTTGTTGATGCTTTCATTCCACTAGGGGGCACTCTAGGTCTTACAAGAAATGACTTTTCTGATGGTCCCAGGTGGTTGAACAGTTAAGAGAGGAGAACAGAGAGCATGTGAACCACTCAAAATACAGACAGCAAAAGTGGGGAGAGTGGGAACAGTGCTTGTGGATAGTTCATCTCAGGTTTTCAGTTCTGTTGTTCTCTATAAACCTGATAAAGCTGGAGTTCATGTCTCTATAAACTCATTGTGAGGATGCTTCTCTGAGCAGAGGTACTGGAATTAGAATAATACTGGGCATTGTGAGCATGAAGGCTCAACAGAAAACATCTTCATTACTTGTTTTCAATTTTTAATTATTATGCTAAAATTCCCCAAACCCACTTACCTAGACATTATTCCAATAGCCCAGATACCTTACATTTTTATATATCTCCCCTGAGAGCATAAGGAACAAGAATAAAGAGAAGAGAATAGGAAAAGAGGAAAAATAAGGAACAAAAATAGGAATGGGAGAGGATAATATTTAATTTGGCAAGCAAAATGTGGCTGGCTCAGAATCAGCTTTGCAGGTCAGCCAGGTGTCTAAGAGTTGAACAAGAGAAGGGGAGAGGTAGAAATTAAGTCAGAGTGGATATAACACACATATCCTATTTTTCACCAACCAAATTCTTGTTGGAATCATTTTCTATACAGACAGTGACTGTATGCCTTGGTTTCTAGAACTCTCCTGATTTCAAGAAATTGCATTTACTTCCACAATACACGATGCATACTATCAGATAGTTTCCCTTTATCAGAATTTTCATACAACCAAATTTTCAAATTCTCTGTCAGACTACGTAATTTGGGAAATTGGATCACTCTTCCCTATGATTCTTCAAGTTTCTATGTAACCCATTGAGACACTGACTCTTCTAGAAATATCATCTACCCTTTCCCACATACTATTCCACAGATGTGTTTTACGTAAAGTGTTTTAAGAAAAAAAAATCCTTATATATTCATATATTGGAAGTATTGCCCTTATTTCCCTGCACCATTTGAACCCACAATTTTGGAGAGATCTCTTACAGTCTCACCAGGACACTGTGGGTGGAGTTTCCTGTTAAGTGAATGACAGAGCTCAGATATGATGGGTGCTCAGTGATTCTGGTGGAACATACTGACTATGACAACAAAATTTGTCTGGACCCAAGACTCTACAAGCTCCACAGGGCAAGGGGTCATGAAGAGACAACTGGGAGCTCTGCTGGGGCTTCTGTGGGTCCAGGTTTTCTGTGAGTTGGGGCATCCCAGATGGGGGACTGGGGTGTTCCACAGTTGACAGTGGGAGGGCCAGAAGGGAGAGCTGACACAGAGATCCTAGACGGTCCTACATCCTCACCGGTATTTCTTAGGATGTTTTACAGGTTTAGAAACTGCATCAGTCACTTCCCAGTGACACCATTTGTGTTTGTTTTTCTCTTTGCAAGCAGGGGTGAGAGCGCTAAAGGTGGAACAGAGTCCTTCAGCCCTGAGCCTCCAGAAGGGAACCAGCTCTACTCTGAGGTGCAATTTTTCTGCCACTGTGAACCGTGTGCAGTGGTTCAGACAGAATCCTGGGAGCGGCCTCATCAATCTACTTTTCTTGACTTCAGTAACGAAGCAGAATGGAAGATTAAACTCCACAATAAATACTAAGGAACTGTATAGTAATCTACATATCACGGACTCCCGACTGGAAGACTCAGCCACCTACCTCTGTGCAGTGAGGCACAGTGCTCCCAGGTGATCTGCAGCCTGTACCCAAACTGCAGCTGGGCCTGCAGCCCCACCCCTTCCATGGGGTGCTCATGTTGCCCCAACAGCAGCCTTTGCACATCTATGGGTTTTCAGATTCATGTTCTGCACTTTTTTTCCTCCTAAAAGTAAAACCTTCAGGACTGTCATTTCATTTTTTTTTTTCTTTGCCTTTTTTATTGCCAGAAATCCCTTTGCAGGTAAAAAGCTCTAATATGGACCAATTGAAGCAACTGAGAAAGATGCTAATATCCATGTCCCTTTAAAACAGATTCTCTGGCAGATAACATATACATTACATGTAAATTTCTCTAATTGAAAAGACTCGATAAGAGGAAAAAATGGCCAAGGTGGTCAACAAATAGAAAGAGATGACATATTTTTCACTTAACAGCGGATGGTTCTACTTTCAAGGAAAAGGAAAGAGAACATGTATAATGTTTCTTTAAAGATTGGATTCAGCTTTTTCACTCCTGGAAATAACAAATATAATAAAAAAATTTTTTGAGTGTCAAACACTGTATCTAGATTATTAGAAATATTATCTATTTCAGTACTGATAATACCCTGTAAATAAACTTTCTCTCATTTTATGCATGAATAAGGTGAGGATCGTAGAGCATAAGTGACTAGCTTGAGCTCACATTATTAGTAAATTCCTGAATATGGAGTGACATCGGAGATTATACTCTGAGCTACCTGATATAGAAGACTCTTCAGAATCACAAAATCCAAATGATTTCTCTTGATCAGTTTGTACAATGTGCTTAAATATACATTAACGACAAAAATACCCATTTAGATCATTTCCAAAGTGCGCCTTGTGTAGTAGAGCTCATGGAAATTTTCAGCCTGTCTCATTAAAATCTATCGTTCTGGGGCCGGCCCGGTGGCTCAGCAGTTAAGTTCACACATTCTGCTTCAGCAGCCCAGAGTTCGCCGTCCCAGATCCCAGGTGCGGACATGGCACCTCTTGTCAAGCCATGCTGTGGTAGGCATCCCACATATAAAGTAGAGGAAGATGGGCAGGGATGTTAGCTCAGGGTCAGTCTTCCTCAGCAAAAAGAGGAGGATTGGCGACAGATGTTAGCTCAGGGCTAATCTTCCTCAAAAACAAAAAAAAATGTAGGATTAGTATTCATTGCCTGATCCACACAGATTAGCCATTTTATGTTGGAGTCAAGGAAATAGTGGGAGATTAAGATATTGATCTATGGTCATTCCATGGGGATTTTATAACTTGAATTATGGTATTTCTTCTCTCTAGGACTCATATTTTTCACTTTTTAATGATTCTGTAACTCATGAGTATTTGACTATTGATAAAATAATGTGCCTTTTTCTTCTAAAAAACTTTTACTAAAAGGATAGCATTGTTTACAATTAATATTAGTTTAGGACCAAGGAAATATTGTATTTCAAGCAGTAGTGAATCCTCAATCAAAGACTGTTTATTCATTATCTTTGTTTAATTTAACAAATATTTAGTGAGTACATAATAAATGTCAGTCACTCTATATTGGGGTGCAGTGCTGAAAAACACAAAATCACTCAATAATGCCTTGACTTCTTATTTCCCCTGTTTTCCATGACATTCAATGAATTATAACCTGGCCCACAGCGAGTACATGATAATATAAAGTACTGTATTAAAATGCTCAAGAGAACTGACATCTTTTCATCTACAGAAATACACTAAGATGCTGTTAAAGAGCTGCCATGTCAGGTGGGGTCCTAAGAACAAGATAGACCTCAGAGGTTCCGATAGCTGTTGTTCAGATTTCTAAGTGCCACCTGAAGACTGACAAGGACCACAAATAAAGTCAGAGATGAGAACATGTTTCTGACTTTGGGAGGATTCTAGGAAACACGCATCCCATTTCAGTCCCTGTCCACCAGGGGATGCAGCTTCCTAATACAAATATTTCCTGAGTGAAATGCAGGCTTTGATTTATCACTTCATTGTGATTTCAACATTTCTTCCTGTTAAGAATCAAGATTATTTAGGCGACACTTCAGAGATGAGCTCTGCTCCAGGCTTAGTGACTGTGGTACTCTTAATGCTTGGTAAGTAAAATGCTTCTTAAAATTTGGATTCTTTCTTCTGTTATGTCAGCAAAACCTTTAACATAATTTTCTCCCAGAGCTTCATGACAGAGGTAACACAGATCTCTTTTCTTTTTCCCCAGGACAAACCCATTAAGACTCGGTGACCCAGATGGAAGGCCAAGTGCCCCTCTCAGAAGGGGCTTCCCTGCATGTGAACTGCACTTATTCAGCCACTGGGTACCCATTTCTTTTCTGGTGTGTTCAATCTCATGGAGAAGGTCCACATCTCCTCCTGAGAGCCACAAAGGCCAATGATAAGGGAAGCAGCAAAGGCTTTGAAGCCATGTATCACAAAGAATTGAATTCCTTCCACTTGGAAAAAGCCTCAGTCCTACAATCACTCAGCTATGTACTATCATGCTGTCAGTGATAGGAACAGCAGGGGGAGCTGAGTACAGACTGAGCAGTAACAAGGGCCCTGGCTGCTGAGTGTCTCTGAATGTTTGATCCACTCTGATTTCATCACTGTCTTCGTCTTTTGCCCCTTAATCTTTGGTTGATACAAAAATCGTACAAATGCCTAGAGCATAAGAACAAGAAGCGAACATTCCTCATACCCAACTCTTCATTAGTAAAGTTGAAAACAGAGTCTAACACCGAAAGTTCCTCATTCAGAGCCAAAGTAATTTCAAGGTAAAACCACAAGATAAACAATGAAGTGGTCTGTTGCTCATCCTTGCAGTCAAAATCCACAAGTTGTTCCAGGCCATTCTGGTGGATATTACTGTGTCTTATTATTCTTTTAGAGAGCCAAAGAGTACCAGAGAGGGCAACATCTGCCTAATGTCTTCCTGGCAGAGTATGACAGTAGTGGTGATAGGAGAGATACAGGCTTAAAAAAACCATGGTTCTTAATAGAGAAAGAAGGGAAGAAAAGAAAGGAGAAGGAACAGCATCTCACATGTAAATGAGCAATAGAAAGAGAGGAAAGAGATATTTATCCCAGTTTTCTTTTGTAGTTAGTCAGATGGTAGGCACAGGCTGATATTCAAAAAGAAGGGAAGGGGCGGAAACATAGTAGAGAAAATGACTCATGTCTAAATCAGGAATCTTACTCCCGGCCAGTACACAGATCTGTTGGCTTTCTTACAAGAAAGCCTCAAGTGGGATAGTTTTTTCAGTGTCATTGGAAGATTAAGCATACATATTCATCTCTGTATCCTCAAAACCATACTAAAAAGATAGTAAAGAAATTGAAAAAGGGCATAAATCCACAAAAAGAACAGAAAAGGAGATACCAGCAGACCCTGACATCAACAAAATCTTAGAGGGTGAACAGTACATGGAGAAATGAAACTTGCATAGCAGACCAAATAAAGAAGAATCCTGGAAATAATGTGATAAGCCAACAAGAAGCACCACAGTGTGTCTAATGCTGTTGTGGAAGGGTTTAGGAATCAGAAGAAATAGTTACCTTTGAATAATTGAGGTAGATGGCTCCATGTGTGTGTCTGTGTTTCTGTGTTTTGAGGACATTGTGGGGTAGCAAGGGAGTGGAGGATGAAAATAGGAGGACAAAATGACAAAATATGTAGTAACAGGCCACCCATGCTCTCTACTAGTTTCCATGCAATAAGCAATGATTACTTCCCAAACCCAGCAGAAAATTGAAAGTTAGTCATTGATGAACTGAGGAAAAGCAAATAAAAAAGTAAGAAAGTCAAAATAATTAAAATGCAAAAATATTACAATTAGTTATTCACCTCAAGAAAAATAAAATATTACTTAAGAAAAGAGCATACTCATATGGGTCTATATGGTTCAACCAATTGTCTTCTAGATGTTTTACTCATATATACCACCAATAGCCGTGATTGAGCAGAATACCTATCTTCCCCAAGCCTTGCGTATTGTTAAGGTTTTTTACTTTAGCTTATCAGTTAAGCTTTCTTTCATTTTTAATAATTTATTTAATTATGAATGAGATGGTGCTTCATTTCATATATTTAAAAGCCATTTACATTTTTCTATAAATTGTCCATTCACATCTCTGCCCATTTCCTACTGTGTTATTGTTCTTTAAATACGGATTTTAAAGAAGAGTCTCCATATTAAGAAAATTTTCACATGACTATCATATATATGTGTCTTTTAAAAAATCTTGCTATTTTTCTTTTGACTTTATTTATGATCTTTATTGCCAAGCCTATTTAAAAAATTAGAATGAAGTCAATTTATCAAAATTTTCTTTTATAGATTCTGAGTTGCATGTCCTGTTTAAAAATCCATAGCACTCTAAAATGATAAAATTTTATCTCATATTTTCTTTAGTTTCTATCAGGTTATTTTTATCTATAAATCTTTCATCTGGATTTGTGTGTGTTTGTGTGTGTGTGTGTGTCTGTGTGTAAGAAGTGATGCTGAAGTTCAAGACTTAGTATTTTCCTTAATTTTTGTTTGTTTATTTTGAGGCAGCTACTCAGGCTCTGCATCCAATCTTGAGTAACTTATTTTTCTTCATTGATTTTAAGTTTGTCTTTGTCTTTTCTTTCCATTGTTTTTCATTTTTTTTCTTATCAAGTTTTCGACCTAGGCATTGTTTTTTCATCCAAAATTTGTACTTTCATATTGGTGATGCTTCATACCAATAGTGTGCTGGATATGTAAGGAATGCATATCCAGTCAACCCTAAGCCCATGCTAGAAATAAATGTAGAGAAAACGACGTGAGTGGAAGAGACGCTGTTGGGAAAGGAAGGAGCGATAATCCCGTTCCATTACTGCACAAGATGCTTAGTGAGGTGTCACCTCAGGCGATGTAAACTATCCGCCTGTTCTCCCAACTCTGTCAGTTGTTTTGGATTGAGAAGACGCAGACAAAGGAGCTGACTGCATGCTCACAAATGGTCCACACAAGAACGGGAAGGAGACAACCCGCTTTGGAGAACTAGGGCAGCTTTGTATCTTCTGTGTTCTTTTTGAAGAGGAGGAATTAAATAATCGAGAGTTGGGTTTAGAGTTAGGAAGAGGCCCAACTACTTGAAATGCTTTGAAATCTGCTGCTGCCTCAGTGTTTTGGATCCTGTGGAAGCGATGACTTTCTCTGTCTTCCCTCTTCCTCTCTCTGTCTTTCTCCCTCCCTCCTCCCCTCTCTCCTCTCAGCTCTCTCCCTCCTGAGTTTGCTGGACTGATTCTGTGTTTTTGTCCTTCCCTGAAGTCAGCAGTCCTCTGAGGGATTAACCGTATTTTTGGGCTACAATATCATCGCCATCAACACTTAAAAATCATTTTATTGTGAAATATAAAAAATGTCCACAAAGGTATATAAAATGCAACTGTTCTCAATATGGATTATTCTGCTGTGCTTTTACTTCTTAGCTGGATTCTGAATTTCTCCTCAAGGTATTTTGGTACTAACATCATTGTTAATTTAATGTTTCCCTGGAGGAAGAGAGTTAGGACTTTCTACTCTTCTGTCTTGCTAATGGCCTGCATTTTGTCTATTAAATCTTTCAAAAATTGACAGGTAAGTGCTACTACACCTGTTTTCACGTAAGAATGCTGAGGCTTGACTGTTCAATCAAACATCACATACAGACAGAATTCAGACTGAGGTCTTGAAACATGTTTTAAGTACTAAACTACTGGGCTTATACAGACATATAGGGGCTTATATTATATATTGAGTTGCAAATAGTTAGGAGGAAACCTAGCAAGAAGCTTAATCAGAGGTTTTGAGCAACCGTAGCTCTGACCTCAAGATGGCAGTGTTTGCATTGGCCCTGCTGTAAGGATGATTGTACATAGGATAGCAAAATCTGGTCTCTGATTGACTGGGCATGTGTTCTCTGATTGGTTGGGCATACACCCTGAGAATCCTTTTGTTCAATGCTAAAAACTAGCTGTTGAGTAGACAAGCCTGCTTTTGGGGGCAGCCCTGTGCAGAAGAAGAATGGAGCAGCATCTGAGGACCTCCTTGGTGGTTTTGTGGCTTCAATTTTGTTGTAAGTTAATGAAGAGTTTTAATCAGGTTGACACAGGAAGTCTAGGGAGCAGTTTCTTATGATTTTCAGCAAAAGTGTATTGCACTGGGGTGAGCAAGGGAAGCAAATGGGGCCATTTTATAGTTTACCCGGGATTCATTATGAAGAAAGGGAAGGGACGCAAATTAGAAAACATTAAGAATGCATGATCCATCTCTCAAATCTTACTTTGCTTTCTGAATAGGGGTGAGTGGCAAAAACCAAGTGGAACAGAGTCCTCCATCCCTGACCATCCTGGAGGGAGAGAACTGCACGTTTCAATGCAATTATACAGTGAGCCCTTTTAACAACTTAAGGTGGTACAAGTGGGACACTGGGAGAGGTCCTGTTTCTCTGATAATCATGTCTTCCAGTGAGAGAAGAAGGTCAAATGGAAGGTACACAGCGACTCTGGATACAGCTAACAAGGGCAGCTCCCTGCACATCACAGCCGCCCAGCTCAGCGATGCAGCCGTCTACATCTGCGTGGTGGGCGCACTGTGCTCCCCAGGCACTTGCAGCCTGTACCCAAACCTGCATCTGGAGGTTGTCAAGGAGGCTTAGGAGGTGAAGCAGGAGCATTATTTTTTTTTTTAAGTTGTATGTAATTTCACAAATGAGCTAGTATGTCTCTCTTAAACATGATTGAGTTTGAACTTGAGCCTATGGCTATATAGCATAAAGATATCCTCACTCAAAATATAAAGTGAACTGATACATCTGGCTATTCCCAAGGGTAAGACTGTCATGTTGCTTTACTGCTGCTGAGTAGATGATAATTTTGGTTCAAAGGGAGAGATTAGCTCTGTCTGGGGTCCAGCCACCAGTAGAATGTTGACTAAGGGGAAAAACAACAAGCTGATGGGCCTTATGACCATACCTGATAAGTTTTTCTTCCTTCTGAAAGGTTTTTAGTCCTCATTTAATGGCTATTCAAATTCTGAGAAAACGTTCTGTGAGGAGAGATCAGCGTTACCAATTTATTCACGCTGCACGTCAAGGCATCTTTCTGATGTTGTATCAAGTTATTTATTGCCTTCCATGACTGCGTCTTTGGAGAACATCACCACTCAGACAGTTATGTCAGCATGGCACTGGCAGGCACAGTCCCTCTGAGGCAGCAGGATATTGGTCACAGGCTCTTCAACTATAAGAACTCTAGGAAAGAGACTTAGAGGACAGAATGCCTACATGCTATTTCTAATCTTAGGTTGCACAAATTAGCTCTGATGTTCTTTTCTGGGGCGCTTACAGAAATTTAAATATGTTTTGAGAATTAGATGAGATGAATGTCTATTTGAAAGGCAGACTGAGAAACACAGGAAGGATATGTCCAAAGGTATGAAAAATGGTCATCTCTGGGTGATAAGAATATGATATTTTTACTTTTGTATCTTTATTTCTCTGTATTTCTAAATTTCTGTAGTTCACAATTTCTGCTTATATGAAAAAAAGTTTATTAAAAAACAAAAAATTAAGGACTTCAGGTATCTCATTCTGCATGTAAGGAGCTTCAGTGTCACTACTTTGTCCTGACAACAAGGAAAAAGCTAAACAGACTGAAAAATCAGCAACTGTATGTTGACCTGTAGAGGGGGAGGACACAGGACAAGCTGCTTCCCCCATGATTAGAGAGACACGCAGCAAAAACAGGGAGTTGCAGCTTACTGGAGCAGAGACTCATGAGAAGAAACTGCAGTGGGAACCAGTGCCAGCGTAGGAAAACCTGAGCTGTAATTGGTGAATTGCTGGAGGCTCAGTGTAGACAAGTCTGACGGTTAAAAATTCCAGAGGACACAGTCATAGGGGACCCCATAATATTCTGAGATTTACCTCCAGGAACTCAACCAGGTGCCCACAGTAAATATTGGAGAAGAATCCCCTAACGCTTCTCTCAGGGGGTGGGGAAAAGAACTATTTTGATATGCACCAGGGCACTCTGTTCTTAAGGTCTGCCCTTAGGGGAAACTGGTTAACCATAGCCTCACCTGCTGGAGTATTATCAGAGCCTAAGTGACATGAGGGGAGGGAAATACCCAACTCCAGTTGGTTCTTGCCATCCTGTCCCTCCTGAGGGAGGAAAGAAAAACAGAGAAACATTTGTGTAGTTCACAGTTCAGAGTACAGGCTCAATGAAAGACTGAAACTTATTCATAGGACCACAGAACAATTCCACCCCCCCCCCCCCCCCACACACACACACCTCACCACCACATTACTAAAGGCTATTCCAGCAGTTCCTTTTACCTGGTATATCATGTCTGGCTACCAAGAAAAAAATTACGAGGCATACCAAAAAGCAAAAAATACAATTTGAATAGACAAAGCAAGCATCAACCAGACATGGCAGAGATGTTGGAATTATCAGATTGAGAATTTAAAACAACTGATGCTAAGGTTTCTAATGGATAGACAGCATGCAAGAACAGATGGGCAATGTCAGCAGAGAGATGGAAATCCTAAGAAAGAACCCAAAAGAAATGCAAGAGATCAAAAACACTGTAACAGAAATGAAGAATATTTTGATAGGCTTGTTGGTAGACTGGAAGCAGCTGAGGAAAGAATGTCTGAGCTTGAGAATATCTCAATAGAAACCTCCAAAACTGAAAAGCAAAGAGAACAAACACCAAAAAAACCAGAACAGAATAAGTAATGATGTGGGACAACTACAAAGGGCGTAACATTTACTTAATGGGAATACCAGGAGAAGAAAGAGAGAAAGGAACAGAAGAAATATGTGAAACAATAATGACTGATTATGTCCCCAATTTTGATGTCAGACATCAAACCACAGATCCGGGAAGCTCAGAGAACACCAAGCAGAATAAGTGCTCAAAAAAATTACACTTAGGTGTATCCTTTTCAAACACAGAAAATCAAAGATAAAAAAAAGAATCCTGAAAGAAGCCAGAGGGAAAAAGCACCCTGCCTAGTAGAGGACCAAAGATAAGAATTATCTCTGACTTCTTCTAGAAACCATGAAAGCAAGAAGAGAGTGGAGTGAAATATTTAAACTTTTAAGAAAAAAATATACCAACTTAGAATTCTGTACTCTGTTAAATCACCCTTCAAAAGTGAAGGAGAAATAAAGACTTTCTCAGACAAACAAAAATTGAGGGGATTTGTTGCCAATAGACCTGCCTTGGAAGAGATATTAAAAGAAGTTCTTGAGAGAGAAGGAAAATAATGTAGGTCAGAAACTGAGATTGACACAAAGTAAGGAGGAGCATCAAAGAAGAAATAAGTGACAGTAAAGTAAAAACTTTCATTTTTCTTATTCTTAATTGTTCTAGCAGATACACATCAAATTTGTTCATTATACAATTATTTATTAAACATATAATAAGTGACAAAACACAAATGCAAACACCCAAAGACCTTCCCTTATGAGGACTGAGTCTAGACTGTCTATGGTGCTCACTTTGTTTTACAGAATATACTGCTAAGTTTATTTTCCAATGTAAGAATTTCCTTTGCTTGCTTTCAGTAACTGGAGGTTTTGCATGATGATTAAAGACGTAAACATTGAAGTCCTGCACTACTAAATAATGTGACTTTGGACAAAATTACTTAAACTTTTTATTGTCTAAAATAACATATTGCTCATCACATAGTTATAAGGATTAAATTAAATTACTTGAATTAAATAACTTAATGGCATTAGTAGAAAGTAATTTTTCTGCTACTGTTGGTTATTCTTGGATATAGATGTGATGAAGCAATGAAGATAATTCGAAAAAGAATCAGGAAAATTTCAAGTCTGGATTGAGGCTTAAGTCTCCACTCTCCCACTGTTGATTATGTTGTTTTGTTATGGTTGTGGCTAAGAGTTTCCCTTTATTCCACATTGACCTTATCCCATCCAGTTATCTGAACAGACTCTCGTGGCTTTCTTGTTTGGCTTCTTTATCTTATAGGTGCTATGCTCAGAAAAATGACGATTTCTTGCTTCTGGTATATTTTAATGCATATTGTAATATGAATCCACACAAGCTTTATGGAGTAGGCTCAGATACAAGATCATTACATGGAATTACAGTGTCAATAACTAGATTCCTATATAGGAGCTCATTTAGTGGGTTTCTGCACCAAGAAGAGAGAAAAGAACCTCTCTAGGTTCTCCTTGGGTGAGGGATGCTTTTCAGTTATTCATTTTATACCTTGTACATGGTAGATGCTCAAGAAATTTATGGAAGAAAAAAGGAAAGAGAACAATCCAGGGGACAAACAATAGGTGTAGCTCTCCAACTAATCTGCACCTGGTCCTGACCTGGTCCTCTTTCCATGGTTCCCCTTCCGAGAACGGGGGAGCTGAGTGAGTATGTGCACAGGGGGATAGATGTAATTTCTGGTTGGCTGAGGAGACTCTCAGCTTCCTGTGACAACAGAAGTGTGAACATGTGCTCAGATAAGCAAGTTATTTGGCTTGGTAGTGTCTGAGGGCTCTCAGACTCCAATCTGAGTCCTCATGAGTCCAATGAACAGAAAAATGGAGAAGTCTTCTGGAATTTCGTCTGCGATTCTCTTTTGGCAGCTGTGCTGAGAGTTGGTGGGCTTTGGAGATATGAATGAAAACAGCAGATCCTGGCAATCTTCTCCATTACAGAAGAGTGGTTAGAGCTACCATGCTCACGTGGGGGGAAGGAAATACATTCTTTCAAAAAGAATCAGCATTAATAAATCTTCTCTGTTTAAACAGGAGTGAGCAGCCTGTATACGTTGGAGCAGAGTCCTTCATTCCTGAGTATCCAGGAGACAGCACATGTCATTCTTTTTTCTTTTTCTTTTGGAGGAAGATTAGCCCTGAGCTAACATCTGCTGCCAATCCTCCTCTTTTTTTTGTTGAGGAAGATTGGCCCTGAGCTAACATCCATGCCCATCTTCCTCTACTTTATATGTGGGATGCCTGCCACAGCATGGCTTCACAAGTCGTTTGCAGGTCCACACCCCGGATCCAGGCCAGCGAACTCCAGGCCAGCGAAGCAAAACATGCAAACTTAACTGCTGTGCCACCAGGCTGGCCTCTGAGAGCATATGTCATTCTTAATTGTACTTATCAAGAGAAACCTTTTTACAACTTCCATTGCTTCAGGCAGGATCCTAGGAAAAGACTTGTATCTTTGACTTTAATTCAATCAAGCCAGAAAGAGCAAACAGACAAAAATTTGAAGGAGCTGCTTGGAAAAGACAATTTCTATATTGTTTTGCATTTCCCAGTCTCTGATCCTAGAGAATCAGCCACCTACTTTTGTGCTTTGCCCCATGGTGTTCTCCAAGCACCTGCTGTCTGTACCACAACCAGGCAGCTGGACCCCTTGACACACGTCTAGCCTTGTGGGTGGAAGTGAAGGTGTTTTCTTTCCTTATGGAGGGGAGTTTTCTTTATAGTCTGTCTCCAAACAGAAGTGAAGGGTAAAATACCTTCTGCTTTACGTGATGGATCTGAATTTATTTTGAATTAAATTTCCTTCTATTATTACTGAATTTTCATTCCTCAATTCAGATTGTACTGATTCTGGTCCTCTTTGCCCACAGATTCCCTTCCACTGCTGTACCCTTTTCTGTAAGAGGGCAGACCCCTTCAGGGCTCAGGCTCCCAGTCCTGGAAGCAAGTTTTCATCAAGTTGTACCCTCAACAGCAGGATTTTACTCAGTTATTCATAATCTTCATAATATTTTCTATATCTGTGTACCACTTATAACATTATTTACTAATCTGGTGTTAAATTGACTTTTATATGAAATAGACTTTGAAAATAACTACTTAAAAATTACCCTTGTTTTAACTGATACTATCTATGAAACCATATATTTGATGTGCTGGTTATATTTATTTCTGTTACAAACTAAAACAACATGATATGCATGACAGCTAAAACGTTCATTTACGTACTGCGTAACATACCTCCTATACCAATCACAGTGTAAGGAATATTGATTCAGCCCATGCTCTTCATTCAACAGATGAAAGAATTAGGATCTACAGGCGTTGCATGACTTACACAAAGCATGACTTGTAGCAAAACGGAAGCTTGGAGTAGAACCCAGACAGTCTGACCCCTTGTCAATTGCTTCTTCCACTAAAGGTGCAAAGTACGATCCAGAGTTTGAAGGAAGGAGTTTTGTTTTAAATTTAAATGAAATTAAAAGTTTATTACTTAATTATACATGTTCATTTTAGATAAATTAGAGGATAAAAGGACACAGAAAAAAATAGAACACTCTCATAATTTCATGACCTAGAAATAATGACTATTACCAGTTTTCAATCTTTTGGGGCACATATACAGGTTAATTTTTCTATGAAAGGGGCTTTTAATGTACCCGGTATTTATTAACATGTTGTTTCTCTCAATATGATATTCTAGGTATTTCCATGCCAGGAAACCTATACTGAGAGAATAATTTTAAATGACT